TATATATATATATATATATATATATATATATATAAACAACAACAACAACAAACTTTATTGATGTTTGGATGGTTTATTTGAATATTTATTGTCTTTTTGTTCATATCTGATTGTTTTGGCATCAATTGTTATGTTCTATAATAAGCTGATTTTTGATAGTCATGACTGTTTTAGATGTAAAAACTCGCTAGGTATATTTACATGCCCTGATTTTTGTAAATGGGAATGAATGCAATCCGATTTAAGATTCTGAAAGCGCTATTTATATAAAACCTAAAAGCTGCAATATGATTGACATTTGTTTACATGTGCATTACACGTACTCCACACAAAACTTCAGCGCATGCACAACGATCAGTCGTTCTGTTCAGAACCGAAGACACCAGTGATAGACTTTGTTTTAGCAGTTTGTAAGACAAGAAACATAAGCATATTCATAAGATGTAAAATGCATGTAAACATACACATCATGACACTGCGCCGCAGTGATTTTCCATTTGATTTTAGATCTACACCACTCCTTTCAGTTGGATGGAAATTTAATTTGGATCGAGCACATTCAGATCAATTGAGGCGTTTACATGAACACTTTTCAGTCTGACTGAGCCATTATAAACAGATTATTTGGGTGCATGTAAATGTATCTATTGGTTTATTTGCTATCTGCAGCATTGTAAAAATAAGGACACATAGTGATGATGGTCTAACATGATCATAAGTTAATAAGCCCACATTTAGAAGTTATTTTGAAATCAAGGGAATGCACAATTTTTTTTTTGTTTTTTGTTTTTTGGGAGTGAATTGCAACTGTGTCCAGGTGAAATGCGAAAAAGCAGCAAGCAGTAAATCTAGGATCACCATACATCCTCTTTTTCCGGGACATGTCTTGGCTGGGATTTCTAAATCGCCTAAATATCCAGGTTTTGACTTTGTTTTCTTATTGACATGCTCTCTACAGTCCTCACATACATTATATGCATACGTATTTGCATTGCTTTGACTGTCAGTTTTTTTTTTTTTAGATCCCTCCTTCACACACGCCATGATTGGTTGATTATGTACAATGCCTGCACGCTATTGGTCATTACTTTCAGCAAGTATAAAGCCAAAACCTGGATATTTTAGGCAATTCAGAAACTCCGGCCAGGGCACATCTGGAAAAAAAAGAGTCGCCCTAAGTAAAACTGTGATGATTGGCAGATATTTTGTCAACTGATTTCTATTTCTGAAAGTTGATTGGTCCAAAATCCCACATACTATAGCTCTATATCAAAGGGATAGTTCATGCAAAAATGAAAACTGTCATCATTTACTTAAACCTATTTAATTACATTTACCTAAATTTGTTAAAAACCTGTACGAAATTTTTTTGTCCATGTTGGTAACCAAAAAGGTGACGGTAGCCATTGACTTCTATAGTATTGTTTTCCATACTATGCAAGACTGTGGCTACCGTCAACTGTTTGGTTACCAACATTCTTCTAAATATCTTGTTTTGTGTTCAACCAAAGAAAGAATCTTACAGGTTTGAAACAACTTGAGGGTGAGATGAGACACATTTCATTTTTAGGTGAACTACTCCTTTAACAATCATCAATCACGACTGTGATTGTCACATTCTTTATTTGCTTTCGGTATGAACAGAAAAATGACTTATTACTGGAAACAGTTGTTTAGGACAGTGTGTGGATTTCATCAGCTCTGGTTTCTGACAGATGCACTGATGTGTTTGCCCCCGACAATGACATGCCTTCCCCAACCGCAGCTGTGCCAACAGTTTCTATTTATTGAGGGGAAGAAAGACATTCTTTATCAGTATTTTTGTGTTTTGTAGTCTCTAAATGATGTAAATGTACAACTATTTGTTACACTTTGTAAGGGCTAAACTACAGGAGTGTGCCACACATCTTGGACATTCCAATGGAGACGAATCTGTACTGCACTGCAACTGTGTTAGCTGATGTTTTATTCCATGAAGTACTGTCTGGTGAAAGCAGTAAAACTAAAGGCCTTTTATTAACCAGTCAAGTGTACCTGAATTTTATTCCTGCCTTTGGAGCAAACAGAAAAGAGTCAGTGCTTTTAAATGTGGATGTTTTTGATGTGTGTATTTGTCACTAATCTACATACACTGTGATGTTCTCTTGTACGTGTTGAAAAAAAAATAGTTTTGCGACAAAAACCTTTAGCATCAAAATGGAGTCTTGTTATTTAACATGAATAAATCTCTATGTATGGTGAATTATTTTATTAATAAAAGCTGTTTATATATCTTTTGTGCCTTCTTCTTTCAGTTTTAGCTCAGCTCAACTGTCGTTTATTCAGTGTAAAGTGTGTCTGAATGTGTGTGTTGTGAGAAACTGCACGTGCAGCCTTTGTTAAAAAAAAAAACTTTTCTAAGAGCCAAAGCCACCAAGTTCCAGAATCTAGCCTAGCTGATATATTGTGTTCATTAATTTGGCGGTTACCATATTCCAGTTCCCTAAATGATAAACACTAATAATCTCATTATTAAATACCACATTCTCACACCTTTAAACACACTGAAAAAAAACCACAAGAAACTGATACTTAGTTTATCTATGTACATTTTGAAAGTAGTAGTTCCGCTAGCCATCAATGTGCAGAATCATAAACACTATGAAATGTTTGTCTGTATGTATACAGTCAGGAAATGGAACCAGCGTCATTGTCGAGCACTAGTCAGGTTGTAGACTCGATGCACGAAGCAATGTAGGTTTCTATTTTCCATTGCCATGGTGGAAGTGAAATCTAATAGGACGACAGATGAGGTGTGTATAGGCACTCCAGTCAAACATGGAAACTGAAATCAGCATAGGATGAGTGACACGGCAAGATACGTCATTACATGTACATACATCTGACATGATATATTTCTGTATCTACTGCTTTCTGTGTTCTTTCTTGTTTCATTCTTAATATTTCATATAAGCAATACCTCTTCCTTTAACTGTGTTAGCTGATGTTTTATTCCTTTACTGAAGTACTTTCTGTTGAAAGCAGTAAAACAAAAGGCCTTTTCTTAACCAGTCAAGTGCACCTGAATTTTATTCTTGCCTTTGGAGCAAACAGAAAAGAGTCAGTGCTTTTAAATGTGGATGTTTTTGATGTGTGTATTTGTCACTAATCTACATACACTGTGATGTTCTCTTGTACGTGTTGAAAAAAAAAAAGTTTTGCGACAAAAACCTTTAGCATCAAAATGGAGTCTTGTTATTTAACATGAATAAATCTCTATGTATGGTGAATTATTTTATTAATAAAAGCTGTTTATATATCTTTTGTGCCTTCTTCTTTCAGTTTTAGCTCAGCTCAACTGTCGTTTATTCAGTGTAAAGTGTGTCTGAATGTGTGTGTTGTGAGAAACTGCACGTGCAGCCTTTGTTAAAAAAAAAAACTTTTCTAAGAGCCAAAGCCACCAAGTTCCAGAATCTAGCCTAGCTGATATATTGTGTTCATTAATTTGGCGGTTACCATATTCCAGTTCCCTAAATGATAAACACTAATAATCTCATTATTAAATACCACGTTCTCACACCTTTAAACACACTGAAAAAAAAACACAAGAAACTGATACTTAGTTTATCTATGTACATTTTGAAAGTAGTAGTTCCGCTAGCCATCAATGTGCAGAATCATAAACACTATGAAATGTTTGTCTGTATG